TTTGAAGAAGCGAGTTCATTGGTGACAGCTGAGCCGGGTAAGTGTTGTGTTCTGGCTCACAAGAACAGGGGAATGGGTAGGGTGGCAGATCATGGATGGTAATTGGCTTGTTGGAGCCTATAATCTAGTCTGGCCGATGGTTCCCAACAGGAAGTCTGCTGAGAACTTCTGGGAAAGATTCCACCCCACTACCCTCCTTTTCTTCTGTTGCATGTTATGTCACACGAAGACAGCTAGAGCAACGGTAGCCATATTTGGACCACAAAGGAAAAGCCAAGAGAATGGAAGACAAGGTGATTCAAAGCGCTGACTGACATCACTGAGTTGCTCAATTAACCAACCCTGGAGCCACCCTAGCTGTACAATGTCCTTATTCTTTAAGCCAATATCATTTTGACATACTGTTACAGAGAAAAAGCATCCCAACTGTTAAACCTCTATTTGTAAACAAGATCATGCAACCATTTGCTTTGCTCGTTTATCAATCACATGTAGCAAAAACTCTTCCAAAGGGGGGAAAAAAAAATCATGGGACCAAATCTGGTTTTTGAGAATGTGGTTAGTTCACCAGCCAGAAGCTAAAGGGAACACAAGTTTTCAGATTGGGACAGGCAATGTGGGCTTCACACCCAGAAACCGAGAAAGGGAGAGCCAACCTTAGTCTTTGGTGCAGAGAGGCCCTGAGTACTAGAAAAAGTGACTAGACTGTAGAATTGCTTTGACTTCCAGAAGGGATTCAATATGAGGTGTAGACAAAGTAGAGGAAGCAGAAAAGATTGTAGCCCCTGAAGTGGCTTGGTACCTGTGCCTCACATACAGGCTGGGTGAAAAGTGAGCCATCGGCCATTCCAAGACTGTGTTCGTGACCTGTGCATCAATATGGCTCCTGAGAGTAGTGATCAATGGCAGAGATGGTGCCAGAGAAGGGCAATGTGGCAGGTAGCGTCTCTGGAAGCTTTAGCACTGCTGAAAACTGCACTTGATACTTAATCCATGTTAGTTCACTGATTCACTAATAAATATTCATTGAGCACCAGCTCTCTTCTAAGTGATGTTGGATGTTAAATATAGAGGGCTTAACATGGCATTGTTCCTGCTCTCACAAAGCTTGTAATCCAATTTGGAGAGGCTGTGTGGCACATGAAAAGGCCATAGGAATTGCAGCCAGACAGATCTAGATTCAAATCCTGACTTTACCATTTATAAGGGGACCATGAACAAGCTACTGATCCTCTCCATGCTTCAGTTACTAATGTATAAAAATGGAGATAACAAAAATACCCGGCTTATTAAGTTATTGTGAGGATTAAACAATAAAATGTATATGAAGTGCTTAGTGCATGGAATATAGGGAGAAGATGAGCTGTGACACAGTTGCACTAGAGGTTAACCAATCCCATGGGGAGCTCTGAGTCTGGGATGGCCCTTCAGAAATGTACCCTGGCCTGGTTCAGTCATTGAATGCAGGTTACCCTTGGGAAAGGGGAGGGAACTTAGGTGAAGGCAACTCCAAGGGAGGATCCTAGCTATGAACTCTCAGCAGCCAACACTCTGGGCAGCTGGGGGATGAATGCTTGGATCCCCTGGGAGGAGGGAGATTAGGTGACCCCACCAAGCACACTGTTGGCCACAGGTTATTTATCTCAACTTTGAATCCAAGTTTAAAGCTCTTTTCACTACATCATGGCTGTCTTCACTCAAAAAAAAAAGACTAACAGAAATTTTGTGATCACTTATTTTCTTCACTCCTAGTCCAAAACCAAGACCATATTTGTTAAGTAATTCTGACATTTTTAGTAAGCAATTTTGAGCGTAGCCATTGACTCAATTGAATACAGCATTTAAAAGATCTGAAATAAGACCCAACCAACCAAAGCAGTTAGTGGAATTACCACATGTAGACATTTATATCAGCTTAATATGACAGTCCTTTACTAAATATTTCCCTCTCTCTGTAGAGAACATTGTGACATCCAGCTTTCCAGCTTGAGATGCTGATAAATTGATGTGGAAATAGTATCATTCTTTCTTTAAGGATATTCATCCCCCAGGGAAAATAATTGTTTTAGTCAAAATCCTAATAAAGTAGATCTTGAAAGTTAGTAAAATATTAATTTATTCTTTAAAAAAATCTAGTTCCCTACCTTATTTCATCACTAGTGTTATATGATTATTGCAAGACTTTTAGCTTTATTTGAGCTACTTAAACTCAACACCTCTTTTTTGGTTTTACAAATAAATCAGCTGATACTATATCCAGCAATGGAAATCTACCTGAAGATTACCAAAAATATACACCACGTTCTGCCTTACAAATTGGTCTGAATAGTTCTTTTATCTGTAAACAAGTCTAGCTGTGACTTTTTAAAAAATCTGTCAGCGTATCCTCTCCTATCACAAGACCTTTTGAATATATTACTCATTGTTCCCAGAGCTTTTGTCTTTTTCCCTTTCTGTGTGTCCTGGAAATTCTCTCACCTATCTATGTCTCCCTCCCTCCCCCCAAAAGTTAGTCACCTCTTGATTAACTTTGTATGGGATCTCAGCCAAATTTAATCCCAGGTAGTTTATGCCCATAACATAGCATGATAGTTCTTAAGCTTTGAGTCCTAAGAATTGTTAGAGGAAACTATTAAAATACAATATATTAGAGATTCTTTCTAGATCTAAAAGTTAAGAATTTCTGGAGGAGATGCTCAGACAAATGCATAATTATAATTATAATAAATGTCTCTGTGAAATTCTGTTAAATCTCACTTCTTGAGAACCACTCAAAAGCAAATTTTGCATCTCTAGCAACCGATATAGTTTTCTGGCTATAAAATATCAGGCTAAAAGTAGCATTTGGAATTCTTTTCTAAAGTTGTGTGTCTAAATAGTAGTCTACAAAGTTGAAACAATAGGGTTGCTTTTCCCAGCAGTAATACATTTGTATGATAAGGTCTACCAGAATGGGACCATTATAAATACAAAGAATGGGGGCTGCTCTGGGAAAATTTGCTGTGGAGAATTGTAAGGACCTGGTGTTTTTGGAATGTTAAAACAAAAAATAGTAAAGGAGTTGGAGAGTACTTCAAGGAAGTGAAACAATGAGGGCACTGGAAAAATGGCTGTGATGGAAATTATTGAACAAATATCAAATGAGGTGATGAGGTCACAAAGATAAGAACACATAATTTAATTTACTTTAACAGGTATTTATTAAGTACCTACTATACGCCCAGTGTTATCCAACAGTGTATCAAGGCATGGTTCCCAAATTTAAATTTGTATTAGATTTAGCTAAGGAGATTTTAAAAAATGAGTTCCTGGAACCCACTTTAGCTCTATGGAATCTAAATATCTGGGGTTGGAGATCTCTAATGTATAAAGCTTCCCAAGTGATTCTTATATATGCAATCAATGGACCAATATTTGTGAATCACTGTTTCAAATAGCACAAAAAAAATGAATGAGACAGTGTTTGTTTTTAAGGAATGTACAAACTGATATACTCTACCAACTTTCCTGACTGCCTTATATTCATGGCTTCTGTTTTACTCATGATGTGTCTTTTCTCTGAAATGCTTTTTTCTGATCTCCACCTTGAAAATATTATCCATCCTTCAAGATCCATTCATGTGTGAGGAGAATAGGAACTTCATTCCACAATCTCCCTGTCACCACCCTTTGAACCCCACATTCATTACACAGCCAAATATAAAATCCACCTTTACAATATCTACTTTACCCATCATCCCCTTTTCATCCCATTTCCACATCTTTAGCTCTCCTGAACCACGGAATGGCCTTTTAACTGACTTCTCACACTCCATCTGCCCTCTTACTCCATTCCATTTTTATGGTTCTATTAATCTTGCACTGTTAAATTATAATTATTTTTCATATTGCAAATAAAGTTTACTATTACCTACAAATTTAGAAATATAAATACTCCACTCTGGCATTCAAAACTACTGCATCAGCTAGGCTTTCTCTGATTATAAGCAACAGAACCAACTCTGGCTAACTTAAGCAAAAAAAGATATGGGCTAGTTCACAAAATTGAAATTCCAATCATTTCCCTTCTTAGTATGATTCTCAAAATTCTCATTCTTAGAGAATGTCTGATTCAGCATATTCCCAGCTCTTGTTAATAGGAAGATAAGAGACATTGATTGAAAGACTACCTACAATTATGCTCACTGGGGGAAAGATAGTTTTTTTCAAAGTAAAATTAGGGTGTTATAACCAAAAAGATGAATGGATGTTAGGGAACAAAACCAAGAAATGTCCACTACACCCAAAATATGGCTCTAATCCAATTAAAGTAAAATTGGAAACAATGGAGAGGAATTCTGTGCTTTCTTTTCTGAGACATCAGAGGTCAAGTGGGGGAAATAACCAAGGAAACTAATATAGGATAGTCTCAATGTCCTCTGGGTTGAGGGAGGAGAGAGGCTTGTGGTTTGAAGTAAATGTTTTAAGCAATGTGTGGAATGATTCAAGAAGGCATTATGAGTTAGAAGGGTAAAGATAAGTTGTTTTCACTTTTTCTGTCTGTGATCAACCTATTTCCACGTAACTACAATATCCTTTGCAAAACACTCTATAGTATTTTTTTAAAGATTTTATTGGAGAGTTGGGGGAGGGGAACAGTGTTGGGAAATTGGGGAAGGGGAACAGACAAGTTGCTGTTCTTTTGTTCTTCAGTCTAGTTGTGGAGGACGTCGCTTCACTGGCCCATGTTGGTATTATCGTTGTGCTCTTCCCAGGTGAGGCAGATCGGTCACCAGCTTCTCACAGGCTGCTCTTGGCAGCTCACCAAAGCTCACGCCGGCTGCCAGCCACTCATGGTAGCTTATGGCAGCCCACTGCAGCTTCACTGCAGCCTACGACTCACCACAGCCCAGCTCCAGGTTGAGCTGTTGTTCAGCATGTTAGCTGTAGAGGGCGCAGTGTCACTGACTCTCATGTGGGATCTGAACCAGGGCCCTGCTGCTCAGAGCTGGCATCCCAAGCCAACTTTTAACCAATGCGCCACTCGGCTGGCCCTATAGTATTTTTTTTAATAAGTTAACCACCCTAATACAAGAATGGCCAGGAATTTATTGGGGGGAAAGTCAGTAGGGTAACAGCAACTTCTGTATCTTTAGGAGGGTAACAAGTCCTCCACTGCCAAATCCAAGAAAGGCGTGATAATCTCCCGTAGTTCCCACATTCTGCGGTGCCCAAGTATTCTAGGGAGCACTCTTTCAAAGATAAACGTAGCATCAAAAAATAGCATGTAACACGAAAGTCCAGTAAAAGTGAGGACATAAAACATGATGAAAATTCTCAGCACACGTTTCCTACAAGGAAAGAAAACATCTGTTAAGAACATTTTGAAGAAAACCACATTGACGCTCCTGGCTCCTTCACTCACGTAGCTCCAAGTAACAGCTTCCCTTGACTTCAGCTGACATCGACTACTAGGACTGGCATTGGAATTCTAAGATTCTATAGCCATGAAACAAGAACACCCTCGCTATTGTGGGTCTCCTTTGAAATGTTCTTCTTACAGTCTAGTAGATTACTGCCATCTTTACCTCACTTGTGAGGTATGTGATGCCTGTTTGAGAGAAAATAAAGGCACAGGCAGATATATTTTCCTCGGGAGAAAATACAATGTGACAGATGGAATTCAGCTCCCTCTACGACCAGTTGTGTCCTGGCATCAGACTTGCCCTTGTAAAATAATGCAGGCTTTTTCAAATCTTTAAGGAGTCCTCCTTCTAGGCCGTACCTAGGATATATTTTATTTATTTGATAATAAGTCCTTGCATTATTATTTTGTAATTATGAATGCAATACATTATTAGGGTAGAAGATCTGGAAAATCCAGAAAAACAACCAGTAGGGAAAAAAATGTCATAGATAATCCAGTTACCTTGAGATAATTACCCACTATGATACATTTCAGAAGAGAAAATCTAGAGCACAGTTAAAGCTAGCTATGGATCTATTTTGTTACCCAATTCAGTGAATTCTATAAACCTGAGCCAAGTTTCTTGGCATTATTGCCTTGGCTATCTCTTAGCAATTATACAAATAATTGCTTCTATTCACATATTTATTAAAGAGCCAGTGTTCTTAAAATCCTCTGTTAGGGAAGAGGGTTTGAGGGCTGCTAAGATGAAGCAGAAATGCCCTGCCCTCAAAGTGCACTAAATCTAGATTTGTTCTTTCTTATGAAAAGGAAAACTTACAATCAAAACATATCTAATAAATAAACACTATTCTTCCTAAATTTCAAAACTAGTCATCTTTGGAAATACCAAACTAGAACATTTCAAAGGAACACATTTTAACGTTCATTTTTTAAAAGAAAAATAAATTTTCTAAATTACAGATAATTTGGAAAACAAAGAAATGGAAAACTATAATCCCATCATTCTTATATAATAAGCTAAGTATTTTTTCTTTGCTTCTTTTCTTCCTTTCATTCATTCTTTTTATTTAGTTTTATTTGTTTGTTTGTTTTTCCTTTTGGTTTAGAGTGTGGCCTTCCATTTATTTCTTTCCTACAGTGAACACTCTAGGTATGGTTGGATTAGATTTATTTTTTGACACTACCAAATCATTAAATTTTTATTTACAAGTCAATATGATACAACTGTTTTTAAATTTAAAATTTCTGTTATTAAGCAAATAAAAGAACATGTATAATATTTATCTTAAAAGGCTCAGACATTGTTCTTAGGAAAACATCATAGCTGCTAAATCAAAATAATTTTTTCATGATGTCACCTGTACAGAACCAAAAATTAATGTTGTTAATAAATTTATTCATTTTGAATATATCTTCTGTAAAGAATGCAATCATTCTTTGACATTTGATTACTATATCAATCTATCTATTTATTTATTTAGCTATTTATTTTTCAAACATTGACATGCATAAAATCTTTAATCTTTTCCAAAATGTTCACATCAATTGTGGTGAATACATAGGGGAGAACTATAAGGGAACTGAGTAATTGGGGATAATACTATGAAGAGGCCATCCTTTAAAGCTAAAAACAGCAAAACTGATACATAATGACTAAGTCTGCAAGATAAACCTCCTCAAAAAGATAATGTATAAATATATTCAATGGAAATAGTATGTTTCCAGTTCTCTGACAAGAGATTGGTCAAAGTTTTAGGCAATCTTAGCTAAGATGTAAGGACGTGATGAAAGATGGCAAAATCAACTGGATTATAACCTGCCACTATAATACAATTAAGTGATAATCAAAAGGCATTCACTTATTTACTTATTTGTCTGTTTGCTTTTAAGATATAATTCACATGCCATACAATTTATCCTTTAAAGTGTACAATTTAGTGGCTTTTAGTGTATTCATAAGCTAGTACAACCATCACCCAAAAAGAAAGCTTATACCCATGAACAGTCACTTCCTATTTCCCATTACCCCAGGTCTGCCAACCACTAATCTACTTTCTATCTCGTATATGGATTTTCCTATTTTGAACATTTTATACCAATGGAATCATACAAGATATGGTCTTCGTGTCTGCCATTTTTTACTTAGCTTGTTTTCAAGGGTCATCTATGTTATAGCATGTTTCAGTATTTTCTTCTTTTTTGTGGCTGAATAATACTCCATAGTATAGATTTTGCTTACCTATTCATCAGTTGATGGCTATTTGTATTGTATCTACTTGTTAGCTATTACAAATAATGCTGTTATAAACATTCATATACAGGGGGTGACTGGTTAGCTCAGCTGGTTAGAGCATAGTGCTGATATCACCAAGGTTGCTGGTTCGAACCCCGCATGGGCCACTGTGAGCTGCGCCCTCCCTAAAAGAGTCAACTATCCCATTGTAGCATGAAAGCAATGTGTAACCAATGGCCATGGCTGTTCCCCAATAAAATTTAAAAAAAAAATCATAGACAGTTTTTGGGAAAATATATTTTCAATTACTTTGGGTACATGCCTAGAAATGGGTCACATGGTAGCTCTATATTTAACATTTTCAGGAATTGCCAAGCTGTTTTCCAAATTGGCTACACCATTTTACAATCCCACTAGTAATATCTGAGGGCTCTAATTTCTCCACATGCTTAGTATTGTCTGTTTTTTTCATTATAGTTATTTCAGTGGTGTAAAGCAGTGTTTTGTGGTTTTGATTTGCATTTCCCTAATGGTCAATGATGTTGACTATCTTTTCATGTGTTCGTTGGCAATTTGTGTATCTTCTTTGAAGAAGTGTCTGTTCAACTCCTTTGTTCATTTTTCAAATTGGGTTGTCTTTTTGTTGTTGAGTTGTAAGAGTTATTTATATATTCTGGATACTAGATCCTGCGTTTATAGGGTTCTGAAAAAGTTGATTTTGACAATGTTTCCAGCTCTTTCAGAGAAAACTGTCTGGACTCTTTACCATTTTTGTCAACATCGCTCATCACTTATTAATTTAGTATTTGTTGAGCATGATGAACATCTTTTATATTTCATGCCCCAAGTGATCAAGATTTCTGAGTTCAAGTAGCTGATGGAGTATTAGAAGAGAGATTTAAAATCATCTAATTGCCATATATGCTGTGGGCTCTCTGTCAGGGTTATGTGCAAGATACAATGAGCACACAAGACAGGGAGCTGAAGATTCTACCTGGGTTGGTGGCTGGGGATAAAGAATCAGAAGTTTTCTTTGAGAAAGATACTGCTCAGGGTCTATATAATGGGGTGGCATCTCTAGAAAGGAATTTAAAGAGTCAGAATTTGCCAGTATGTATGTCTTCAATACTGCACAAGGGAGAGGTATCTTGTCCAGCAAATGGAGGTTTTCAATCTGCTTAACAGGTGTGATCCTTTGGTGCAGGTTGCTGCACCACAGCTTGCAGACACAGATTGATATCTAAAATAAGAAAAGAATCTATGACTTTTAAAGAATAAGAATAGATAAGTTATAAAAGATAAACCAAATTTTTAGTCAATGCTTGAAGAAATTGACTCTTACTGTAGATCATACCTTTTGGGGCCTCTGTCCAGCCCCTCAAAGTCTTCCTCTGACTTACCACATTGTAATTCGGGGAGGAGAGCTCTGCACTAAAGGGGATGGGGGAGCCTCAAGAAGCAGGGTCTCCATTTCTCCCATATCCATGTCTTCAGGATTCTGAGAGTCTGTGTTTTCTTCTTGCATTTGGTATACCCCAAGCTTTGTGTTCAGCACAGTCATGCCTTTGCAAAAGTTCTGGGGGGAAAATCAACTGTCATTAAAAAAAAATAATTCTAGATGTCTGCCAGTCTTATTGTATTAATAGACAATGCAGAGTGCTTCTCCTCCAAAGCACCTCAGGGGCCTAGATTGCAAGTCACATGTGAGTCATGTCAGGCCATTGGCAGGAGTACTCACCTATTATAGCAGCGGTTCTCAACCTGTGGGTCATGACCCCTTTGGGGGTTGAACGACCCTTTCACAGGGGTCGCCTAAGACCATCGGAAAACAAAAAGATATTTACATGACGATTCATAACAGTAGCAAAATTACAGTTATAGAATAGCAACGAAAAGAATTTTATGGTTGGGGGTCACCACAACATGAGGAACTGTATTAAGGGGTCGCGGCATTAGGAAGGTTGAGAACCGCTGCATTAGAGACTTATACTTTCAGAGTAAGGTAGCACCATGGTAGAGAATGAAGCAAAACCCACATGCTACTCTTTCACTGCTGGATTATTCATGTAGGAAGGCAATAACTTTGTACTGAATTTGTTCATCTATGTAAAACATATTTATTGAGTGACTTCTACCAGACAGTATTCTAGGATACAGTGGTTAACAAAATAAACAAGGAATATGCATTTGATTGCATGTTATGTTTTTTAACAAACTAGACAAGGAATTACAATATATATGTTTATTGGGGTTGGGGGACAAGCAATCAACAACTAAACACATATATAGAGGGTGCCAAAAAATGTATACATATTTTAAGAAAGAAAAGCTGTATTAACATTGTAATACTCAATATATACTGATAACAAAAGATGAATACAAGTCACGTTTGACTTCTGCAATTACAAGAGGTGCTCAGAGTGGTTACCATCAGTGTTCAGACACTTCTGATTATGGCGAACTACTGCTTGAGCAACGTTGACCAAAGTGTCCACTTGTATCCATGTTTTTGGCACCCCTGGTATAACTCGTACATTAGTTATTATAAATTAAGATACTTGCTAAAGAGAAAACAAATAAAATGATGAGATAGAGTAGCTAAGGTTTGGTGGTAGGACATGTACTCTAGAAAGTGGAATGATTAAGTACCTCTGAGTGTGTGACAGGTTGATTTATTCATTTATTATTTCATTCACCCATTCACATTTACCTCAGTGGATAAGATCTTGTGGGAGGAGTTCAGAAATTGAATCATTTTTCTGGCTAGGAGACATTAGGGAAGGTCTGGAAAAGGAGATGACATCTAAGCTGAGCCTTGAAGAATGGGTAATGCTCATGTACACATGAAGGATAAGCTCCAAAGGAGATGTATGAGGTGCATGAGGGCTTGGGGGTACGCCAGACCTGTGAGACATGCTGCTGACCCAAAGCAGAAGGCCAGCAGGGGAAGAAGATGGTGATAAGGCTAGAAAGACACCAGGGAATGAATTACTCCTGTATATAGATTTCAATCATTTTATTTTATCATTATTTGAACTTTTGTAACTTTGAAATCTTACCTCTATTCTTGAAACAAGTTTCTCCTTTAATTCATGAGCTTCATTACAAGCATCTGCCTGAAAAGACATCCAAATTTTAGGTAAAATATAAATTGTATTTTTCTGGTTTATACCATAAAACCTCACTCGTTTTGGCACCATGTAATTGTATAGTGGCTTTAATGAAATTTACTTTTACTCAGTGAAATCCTTGCTCTTAGAGCAAATTCATAGTGTAATTATGATAAATCGCAGGAGGAATGACTGGAAATTTTATCAAATTGTTTTTAATGCTTTAGAAGTATAAATTTATACAACAGCTGCTTATTATAAATCTTGTTTTCTCTATTCATTACTCTTTCCTTGATCCTTAAAAAATGTCCACCAAGACACTCATTGGAAAAACATAGTATGTTTTTCTGAGAAAAAAAAGAAATGTATATATCTTATAAATATTTAATAATTTATAATATACAAATGTAAGTCTGCATTATGTTAGTTTAAATATTTGGGCCTTATAGTTTAGCAAAAGAACTGTTCATAAAAAGGTCCATTTCCTCTTGTCTTCCTCTGTCTCCTATAGGTTGTCAGGTAGAAATAACAGATGGTTTTGGTTGGTTTCTATCAGTAAGATCAAGATACAGGCTGAAAGCAAATGATCTCCTTCTAAGACATGAATGCCAATTGCACATATGCCAGGAGTAAAATATTTTAAGGGTTTTTAATTAATCATTCCATAATAGACTTGCAGCATAACTTGATAAATAGAGCTATAGCAAGAACAGTGCTCAGAGATTCAAGAAAAATGGGTTCCAGAGGTGCCATTTCTAGAAATTGATTCTTAGAGAAGGTCTTGTCAAAGCAAGCAAAGATATGAATTTCTGAGGCATAGTTTGTAAAAGCAAACATTGATTTTAAAGCCACAAATATCCAACAGAATAAATTTAGTAATTCAAATTCTGCAATATATAAAGGGGAAAAGTAAAATGACATCTAGTGGCATAGAAAGTTGTTGAAGAAAAAATCTTAAGGTAAAAAAAGCAAGTTGCAAAATAATATATGTAATATAATCCCATTAAAATAAACACATGTATAGAAAAATTTGGAAGAATATAAATATAATGTTCACTGTGGGTATCATTGAGTAAATGGGATCATTTTTCATTTTTTAATATAAAACATTTCTATGTTTTCGTTATTAAAATATTTATTACTTTTGTTAGAAGAAAATATATATATATACATGTATATATACATGTATGTATATATATTTTAAATATATATCAAATATTTTATATATTTAAATATATATAACAATATACATGCATATATTAAAATATATACATATATCTTTTTATTTATATTTTTAATGAGAGCAAGAGCAAGACTGGGTCTTTCCATCTGGAAATATGAGCAAGTTATTTCATGTTTCTTAGATATGCTTTTCTCTTCAGAAAATGAGGGTGCAGATCAAATGACAATAAGTTCCCTTCTAGGTCTATAATTCTGAGTCTATCTTGCATCAAATTTCAGGTTCCATTCACTAAAATTCTCCAAATTCGACATTTCTTTGAAGAACTGTTTTTCTTCCTTAATAATAGACATTTTATCATTACCTGGACAAATTTGTTATCCATTTCTCCTAATTGCTTTTTAATTTCCATGATCTTCTCCTTTAAAACAAAGGGTATAAAAACAAAAATTGTAAAGAGCGATGTGTGGAATTGAAACCAAACAAATGATGATTTTTAGAAGAAAGCTCATTCATGATAAAAAAAAAAATTACGTTTAATAGAAGCTATTTTTTCCATACTGCTCTGGGTGCTATCTCCAAAAGCAATATTAAATTAAATCAACAAGAGATTATTGGCCATATCCTATGTAAATAGCCATTGAACTAGGCATGGTGTTGGTTGGATATGAGTAGTAAGAGGATTTGCCCTTAAACAACTATGGAGAATATATAGTCTACACCCTTCTTTACCAAGTTCATTCATCACTAACCCCTGAATTGTGTGATTTCATTATTTAGAAAAGGGCTATGATAGGATAATCATATTTTACTCGGTGCCCTAGTTTATTTATATAGAAAATATTTTCACAGAGTACTTATCAAAGATAATCACTGAGATGGGAGTCAGTCTCAGAATTAAAAGTCTAGATGTTCATGTAGAGATTTCAGAAAGTTTTCTGAACTTGTGGGCCCAGTATCAGGCAACACCCAAAGCCACCTCAAAGTCCTTTGTTCAGCTTAAAGGTCTTTTAAATTTGTTTCTGGTGCGTGTGTGTGTGTGTGTGTGTGTGTGTGTGTGTGTGTGTGTGTGTTTAAATACTTTTACCAATTTTCTCTCCTCCCCCTTTTCATGGCTTTCTGAATCATTTATTTCTTCATGAGAAATAAATGAGCTAATACATGGGATAGTTTTACACTTTATTAACTTGTTTCTCCTTTAACTTTTCACACTATGTTTGCTGTTCCTGTATCGATTTCTAACAGTCTTCACCATAGTAAACCTTCAACCATTCCAACTATATTGAAAGTTTCTTATTCATTGTATTACTGCATTTGTTTTTATGCAGGCTTTTCCATCAGCCTTTTGACCTATCAAAGAGAATTTGCGTCAACTTTTTTATGTTTATTGAGGTTATAATTTATATACAGTAAAGCTCACCTTTTGAAAGTGCACAAATGCAGTATGAATTTTGACAAATGTGTACTATCATAGAATCACCACCGCGAGGTGTGGAATATTTTCATCACACCCAAAATTTCCTTGTGCCCTTTGTCAGTCCCCTCCTTCCTTGCCCCACTCACCCCTAGCAACCATTAATCTATTTTTTTGTTTCTATAGTTTTGCCTTTTTCAGAATGTTATAGAAATGGAATCATCACTTTTTTTTTTTTTTTTAAGCTGAGCCATCCTGCTACCTGTTGGCAGCTCAGCGGCTACTCAGCTCGGGCTGGACTCAAACCGCTGTTGCTCAGAGCTCAAACTCTTGAGAGAGCTATTAACCAACTGAGCCACTCGGCCGGCCCAGAAATGAAATCATAAAGTATGTCATTTTCTGGGCCTGACTTCTTTCATTTAGCATAATGCATTTGAGATTCATTCATGTTGTTGGACAAATAGAAAGCCCATTCCTGGGCCGGCTGAGTGGCGCGTTGGTTAAGAGCTGGCTTGGGATGCCAGAGGACCC